ATATTTATAAACTTCATTTTCAGTTACAGAGTGCAGCTTAAATTCAGTTTCACTCTGATCTATATAACTAGATGGTTGAATTGGTGTCCTTTCTAAGTTTTCTGCCAGATTTGAACCTATGTTGCAAAAATAGTCATTTAATTAAGACATTTGTAATTTCTTTAGCATCGGTAACACTTCCATTCTCAGTTTTAATTTCGGAAATAGTTGTTGTTTTTGATTTCTTGTTAATTAATTTATTAATAGTTTTCCACATCTCTTGTGGGTTTTTGGTGGTTGTTTCAAAACAGTGTATGAAGTGTTTGGCTTTGGCCTGTTTAATATTTTTAGTTACCTCGTTCCTAGCTTTTTTGTAAGCTTGGTGCATATTTAGAGACCCAGTCTTAACTGCTTTTTTCTTTAGATAATCTCTGTTCCTATTTTTTTTCATAATATCTTTCGTTAGCCAAGGTGTATATTCACTTCGTACCCTCCGAGTGATTGGTGGAGCATGCATATCAGCTACAAATAAAAACTTGTTTTTCCAATCCATATATATATAATTAATGTCATCAGACTGTTGATCAAAATCTATATGAAATATTTGTGATAAATCTGCAATAAAATTGTCTTTATTGTAGCCTTTGTATTGTCTAGTATTAACAACTTTTGGCTCACCACGAGGGATCGATAATTTTCTTGTTATACATATCAAACTATGATCACTAATTCCTATATGGTGTACCTCCGATCGAACAATAATTTCAGCTTTATTTGTAAACGCTAAATCGATAAGTGTACTAGTGTTTTCAGTTACTCGTGTTGGTTCTTTGATAAGTTGCTCAAATTGATATAATTCCATCATATCTTTTAATTTATCTGTATGTGATTGCATGCCTTGTTTAGACCAGTCACAATTAAAATCACCTATGCAAATCACTTCTACATTTTCTGCATCTATTTTTTCTAAAACGTTCTCATAATCGTCAAAAAGCTCAGCTTTTAAACTAGGTGGTCTATACCAGGCATTAACGAGAAAGGATTTTGCTTTAGGTTTCATGACTTCTACTGTGACCATCTCAAGGCTTTCTATCATTAACTCATTTCTTAGTTTATAGTTAATTGTGTTCCGTATGTAAAGTAATACCCTTCCTCCATGTCTATTTCTGTCTTTGCGTATAATTTCATAACCGTCAATCAAAACTTCATTGTCAGCTATAGTCACATCCAACATTGTCTCGTTTAAGCAAATTATATCAAATTGTTTTTTTCTTAAAAATATTCGGAATTCATCAATGTGTTTAATAAGGCTTCTAATGTTTAAATGAGCTATTTTAAATCCCTTAACACTTTGTATTTCTTTTTGAATGCATTCATAATTTATTCTGGTTGAAGAATTTTGCATGCTATCTTGATTATTACGATTTTCTTCAAAACCGGAATACAACATGCTCTCACAGTTATTTTCTTTTAAATCTTGGTCAAAATTTAGCATGCCTTCATAGGTTGTTTTCCCATCTGAAATCATATGCCTAACAAAGTACAAGAAGCGTCCTTTTCGCTTCGGTAGAACAACACCATTTCCAGTACTCGGACAATTCCTGTATGTTTTGGAAAGCAAATAAGTGTTTTATTACATAGCAAGCGTAAAAGTCTCAATAATTAGCCTGGTATTAAATTAAATCTTTATCTCTTAATTTTAATAATAGATAAAAATCTACTTCTGAACGACTTGCAAATCGACTGGCAGACGCGAGCAGCTCGCGCCTCACTTTCGGTTTTATTTTTGACTTGTCACTGAATTGTTTCATTGTTGACCGCGGTTGCCCTCTTACCAAAGCATGCAGTGAACATGACATTTTGTGGCCCGCTATGTCTCATACAGTTTTGTTTAATCGGCAAGCAAGAAAATTGAACTTTGACATTTGCTATATAATAATTTACTTTCACTCTCCTCCGCAGAGTCAATTATATAGGATTGTAGGGATAATGTAGGGATAGTAGAGGACATTTAGTGGTGCGCGATGGGGGGTGAGACCGATGGTTGTTCCGTCTTCCCATCATACATAGCGCGCTTTGAATAAAAATTACGTAATTTGTTTCCCAAGTAATATTACGCAATTTTACTAAAAATTCGTAAGGCTCTGCGGATGAGAGTGTTCTCTATTTATTATAATATTATGGTTAAAACGCGTCGGATAATTATCGGTATCTTGAAGCCGTTGCATTATTTCAGCTGTTGACGCCATCAGCGTGCAATAATACTTTTTTGGACCCAAGTTCTGCCCAAAAGAAGTGTTGTTGCGCGCTGTGGTTACCAAGCCCCGGCACGGTCCAATGTTTGCTAAAAGCGCGCGAAAATGTCATATTATTTAATTAAAAGCGTGAACAAAATGGCTTTGCTTTTTTTCTAGCTTTTGAATATATAATAAAACAATCATTGAATTTGGTTTTGGTATGATATCGAGAATTATCAAGGCCTCAATTTGTGTTATCCACCTCAGCCATACTCATGACAACTTCATTCAATAATTGTTCATTGTTCATTTACAACGTGCGGATCGGCGGCGGGAACGTCCGGTGCACGAGAAGTCATATGTTAAGAGTTTGCTTCAGAGTTTTTTCTGTGAGGGCTCATGCAGTCTTCCTCACCAACCGTAGCCGAATCGTAGGGTTTAGGTCTTTAACACGTGTATCAATATTATGACTGTCCGGGTCAGATAAATTGGCCGATTACTGCAATGTAATCGACAGTAAATAATGATCACCAATGGACCATTTGCATTATAGACTAAATTTTGATCTAGACAAATATTTCATAACAGCTTGAAAGAGCACCACAAAATTAGTAATATTCCAAAGTTTCGTTGCGAAATGTTGTAAAATGCGGATAATATAGCCTTGCGAAATTTGCAATTTTCAGTCATTTTGTATTACAAACGGGAAATTGATGCCCCAACACCCGATTGGGCTGTCAATTTCCCGTGCGTAATACAAAATGACTG